CTTCTCATTCCCAGTAATTCTTGTCCTTTAGCTTCACTGCTTCAGGGAAAATGCAAATAATGCTGAGAACAAAGAAGTCTTTGCTTAGCTTTACTTTCAAAGTAGACCAAAGACAGGAAAAAGAGTGCAGTAGAAACAATAATCTGGAAAGCAAGGCTTTCACTTGCAAGAGCCAGGCTAGTTCAGAAAGGAAAGGAAAAAAAGCCTTGTGATTCTAAGAAGCTGAGAAACTACTAAGGACTGAAGGGGTTCAGGTTATGCCCCCAAAACATGCCTCTTTGGCATAAGGATTATCTGAGCTGAAGGCAACTGAGAATCAACAGATGCAGGAAGTGTTCTCTGTTCTCCTCTTGCTTGCCTAAAAGTATGGAATAAATTTCCCTTGTAAAGGTATCATCCCATAACTGAACTCAGGTCTGGCTATTCACAGTTTCTAAAGCCTGACACATGAGAGGCAAGGTGTGGTGAAAGGAAAGCAGCTTTAATAAAATGCTGGCAGTTGAGGAGATGCCCAGACTCAAGCCTCAAAACGATACCTCAAATTTTAAGGGGCTGACTGAAGGGATTTACAAAGGGGAAACCTCATATGGGAAACATGGAGGAATTGTGGAAATAATGTCTGCATGCCAAACATGCAGGTCTGCCGGTCATGTTCTGATGGCTATCTTGAGTTATTGTCCACCTGGAGAACTCGCCGGTGCCATCTTGACTGTGACAGGTTGTAGATTAACCACCTTGTGGTAATCCGCAGCTGGGTCTCCAGGCCTGGGCTGTTTCAAGATTAGCCCCTGGAATTTCTAAGCAATCATATAGCTAGACAAGCACGTATATGTTGGTCATAGGATCATGGTATAAGGGAGTGCCCAGGGGGAAGGAGAGAAATAAACGGAAAAACAAAAGCAAAAACAAAAAACCTTTTAAATGCACTTTAAGACTATTGGGAAGGGCTTTAAAATACATTTTAAACCTGAGACTCTCGGTTACAACTCCCCACTGTCAAGTTCCACTCCATTTCTATGGAAAGCGGATGATGTGCTCCATCTAGCTACTTCCTGCTGAAACATGCAGTTAAGGGGCAGTGGAATGGAACCTCACCACTTGGAGTGGAAAATACTTTTGAGTCCATTGGCTTACAGAGAGATCTGCTAGAGCATCATGGTGAGTATGTAACAGCAATATGGTCTACAGCAGAAGAATAAACCTATCCCTTTAATCATGGCTGAAATTATGAGCAACTTTTTTTCACCAGGAGCGGCCTGATCCAAACCATGAGGAGAGTCACTGACTTAAGACATTGTGGGGTAAGACATAGCATTAATTTGCTTGTGCATGTCTTATAGGGCTGAGGATTTGTTTCCAGAATTATCTAGGATGTACACACACTACTCAGTCTTAATTATAGTGCACATTTCCCACTATCAATTGTGCTTGAAGCTCCTATGGAAATATGACAACAGGTTGGGCTAAATGTACATATTTAACAGGTTGCAGGAGGGGCTATGAATATTCATGAAGGTGGTCCTGACACATGTGCATTGAACAAATATGCACATAACATCTGACTCATGTTCATTTTGGGGTGAGACTTAATATTTAGATGCAATAAAATTAGGCCCTATACATTAAAAGGTCTTTTCAGGGCAGAAAGGCACGCAAGTGTGCAATTTCTGTAAACCAGCTACAACTAGTCCCTGGTCAGTGGTCTTTTATCAGGTGAAAGTTATTAAAGTCAGGCTTGTGTCTAATTAAATCTTATTTATAGCTCGTGGAACAGGGGCTGGGGGCCAGTTAGCTTGAGGCCAGTGCCTGTCTAACTGCTAGAGAAAAAGAAAACCCTTGTGGCAGCTAGAAGACAGCTTACTCTTTAAGTGTAAGGATGTCACTTAACCCTTGCCTGCATGGTCTTAGGTCCTGTTTATAATTTGGTATTTTGCTATTACAGGAGTCTGTTTTTTCAATCTTATAATCTTTATAAGAGATTTTGTTTTGTTTTTACTGATGGGCCCCTGCGGTGACTGAAAGCTGTAGTCCTTGGAGTCCGGGGAACTCAGTGCTGCTTGCACACCTAGGCATACACCCCAGCCAGCATTCCCGGAGACAGGTCAATGCTCTGGATCTCAAGAGATGCCTGGGCTTCCTGGGGGTCTGCACAGAGTCTCTGTGAGAGAAGAGCTCCAGAGGCAAGCCTGGAGACCAGGGGTTCTCAATGAACAGCTGTGGGACTGCTTAATAGTTGGTGTTTATGACTGCCTGGAATGTGACTGCTTATCTTTCCACCCTTTCACATATGGAGAAACAGGTTCAGAGAGGTCCAGTATGCTGCCAAGGTTATCCATAGAAGAGTAGAGAAGCTGAAGTTTGCATTCCAATCAGTTAACCTTCAACAACCCTACTCCTTCTGCTTGGCTAGTGTTTTTAAAGTCTGCATATGAGGTATGCAAAATTGATTTTAGGTTTTAGTTTGCAAGTTTAAAAATAAGAATTCTTATGTTTAACCTGAATTAGACAAAGATGGCAGTTGGCACATGAGACCTGTAATTCTGTAGATATTAACATGTATAGTATGTATATTTTTTTAAAAAAACACGTTAATTTGTGAAAATATGAAGGTGATAGGTGAACACAGCCCTCCTGAATAAGTCTAATTTTGGAGGTGCGGGGTCCTCCTTTGATTTCTAGTACTGTGTGTTCTGACCCTGTGACTTGAGTATCTTTGTCCTGCTTCATATCTGCCGTGCCACTCAGTCCACCACAATTCTTCCTAAATCCAGAAAATTCATGAAGTGACTGCACGACTGTCTGAAGACTGAAAACAAAGAATCCCAGGACAATAGCTACTATATCATTCTGCTTGAATTGCCTGTGGCTTCTTTGGCCCTGCCAACTCTATATTTATTTAGCACCCAGTTCTCCAACCAACCCCTTTGAGACTGAATTACGAAATAGCATTCACTGTGCAGTTTTGTAAGAAAAGCATGCTGTTAGTTACCAAATACTTTGCCCATTTGTTCTGAGTTATGTTAGTCTCTCAGTTCCTCTGAAAAGCATATGCATTTTAAAAATTAACCAATAGTCAGAATTATTAACCAATAGTCAGAATGTGTAGGTATTTCCTTTAAGGTGCAGAGTCAAAATGACAGTACACATCTGCTTTTCCAACTTGGGTACATATAAGGGGCATGCAATTAACCAAGATAACCACAATGTGTCTTTCTAGAAGGACTATTACAATATCTCAAGGAGGAGAAGATTTTATTACAATGAAACATGGAATGAGAATGCACAATTCATATTAGGATTAATGATAAAACATGAGACTAAACCAGTTCAGTGTCATGATTGAACAAAGTTTTTGTTAGCAAAGAGCAATGCAGAAATGCAAAGCAGTGTTCAAATATAAGTCATTACCATTATTAAGTTTCAGAATCCTTAGTCTCCAGGAAACCAAATAGCCTCAGGACTTATCCTGCAGGGTTCTATTCCCTCAAGGCTATCAGGTAGGTCACATTAATTGTGTAAATTGAGGAAAGTGTTTTAATAATGATGTATGAATTCTCCAAAAAAGTATATTCTTAGAGGTCTTCTGAAAAAGGTGTTCTAGAATCCAGAACCACAGCTCAAAAGGCACTGATAATAATCCTCATGAAAGAAAAATCAGAAGCGGGCTAAATGACAAGCTCCTTATATATAGCTGGGCCCAAATACTATAACCACCGTCTTCTAAGACATTTCTTTTGCTTTTTCTACTGATCCTATATTACTTTAGTTTGATAAAATATTCCAAGTGTCCTGCTTACTGCGATCTTATCTACTGTAAAGGTGTTTTATTACTTTGTTAAATTATGCCAATATTAGTAAGATTTTCTTTTATGAATAAAGCCAACATCTATTTATTTTATTAGCAAAGTGCTAACAGACCTGGACCAACGAAATTACAATTCCATTTCCATTTCGTATATAACTCCATCTAAGACGTCTTAAATGCCTGCATACATCACAAAGCCTAACGGGGTGGTAAGTGATTTTTCAATTAGAGTAACCCTTCAGTTTTCAATGAAAGAAATCATTATTGTATTTCCTCTGAAACTAATTACTTGTATCTCTTTTATCTCACTTCCTTGGAAGGGTTTCCTAATGCAGCAACCCCACTTTGAGTCATATATTGGATCGGTTTTGCCTACTACCAAACCTCGATTTCCACAATGGCAGTAATAGCTAACATTCAGTGTTATTCTGAGGTAGGCCCTATTATAAGCCCCTATTATTTAAAATCCGCATGCCAACTCATTTACTCCTCACAGAACTCTCTGAGACAGGTATTAGTTGTATTAACAGATAGGGGGTTAAGTAATTTGCCCATGGTCACACAGCAGCTGCACTCTACAATGCCTCTCTCGTGTTTTACTTAATGTTAGTCCACTGTTCGTGTACTGGTTCCACAAATTAGAGGTAAGCTTATATTCTCAGCATTTGTTTTCACAAAAAATGCTACATGAAAGCAAATGACATACATACTTTGTAAGCTTTCAAGTGTTACATAAAAGTCGGATACTTGTTAATGAGAAAACTACCGGCATCTATAAAGAACCCAAAAGACATATGATAAAATGTTAACTCTTTCTTCTCCTTATTGCAATGGTTTGGGAACTGAAATCTATTTTCCTGGAACAGGAATGGCATTTTTCCCACAACTATTTAAGAACTCTCCCTCTTATCAGATGGAAAAAAAAACTGAAGTACAAATCCTTTTTCTGGGACTTTTAAATCATACTTCTCTTCCTTTACTATACTCAAGAGATGGCTGATCTGAATTGCCAATTACCCAAATACTGCTAGTACGGAAATGCAGTATTTAAGGCTTTAGACTATTTTCCTCTGTTGTCTGCAGTCGCAGTGAAATACTTCAAGCACAATTTTTGCTGAACTCTTCTGATTTTCAGCAGTGGAAAAGCTGTGAAATGGGAACTTACCCCCAACATATTTCAATTTGGAAGTTCAACTTCAAAGAAAGCCATAAAAATGTACGTTTTATTGAGTGCCTATAGTGTGCATGGGCCTTTATTAGACACACTGAATTCAGGCACAACAGACACAAGACCCCTGGCCTTGGGTACCTTATGATCTAATTAGTACAATACATATTAGAAACCGTAGAAAGACAAGTTACATGTCAATGCCCCATGATTAGAGTCAACATTAAAGAGCTGTATTAAAGTAATCCAAACTGACATCTAATCCTAAAATCATTTATAAAATGTATTTGGCTTTGGAATCCACAGGACTTCAAACAAGAAAAGTTTCACTGCAGATACAGTCGCAAAGATGCAAATACACTGAGCCTTATTAATGATTTTTGCTATTTTGGATCTTCTGTTTTTTTCTTATCATGGTCCGAAGCCTCCTTAATACCAACTTATCAGACAGAAGCATGTCGTCTTGTTGTTCAAGATAATCTAGTAAATTTTCAGTCCATTCAAGTGCAGCTTTATGGCTAATATGCTTCTCTGGATTCAGTTCTGTTTTTCTACTCTTACTGGAAGGCTTTTGCTCAGCAGCCTTGGTCTGGTCCTCAGCACTTTCACTGTCAATCATCACCTGACAGCTTGAGTCACTGCTCCGAGAGTCAAACCACTGATCAATATTCTCAATGTCAACGTGTTCACATTCTTCTGTGTTCTGTAAAACTGTTGCTAAATTGGCTGCTAAAATGGCTCCTTCATCGATGTTCATACCTGAATTCTCTTCACTGCCAGGGAAAAGTTTTTTCCATGCTTTGGTTATGGTACTTGATTTTACCATGTTCCAAGCTCTTGACACTTCATAAATTGCATCCAACACTGTCAAGTTCTTCCAAAATATTTTTGGGTCAATTCCTTCATCCATGTATTTCTGGAGAAGTCCTGCTCGGTAGTATCTTTTTACAGTGGCTAGAACTCCCTGGCTCATTGGTTGAATCAGACTTGTGACATTTGGTGGCAAATACTTCACAATTATTCTGCCATCATCTGAGCTCAACATTTCTTCATGTGGATGTGCTGGGGGAAAATCTAAAAGAAGCACTGCTTTTTCTAAGAGTCCCTTGGATTTCAAATGCTTCTGCACCTGTGGCACAAAGTACTTTTCAAACCACTGTCTGAAAACAGATTGTTCTATCCATGCACCTTTTTGACTGTAATATGTCACAGGAAGGTTTGAAAGATCAGTGCCTTTGAATGCTCGGGGCTTTTTGGCCTTCCCCACAACACAAAGGTTAAGTTTGTGTAAACCTGTGGCATTTGCACAACACATAATAATGATTCTCTCTCTGCTTGACCTACACCCAGAAGTACTTTGCTCAGTTTCAAGAGTTAATGTCCTTGATGGTAGACATTTCCAGAACAATCCAGTTTGATCAGCACCATAAATTTGCTCTGGTTGTAGGTTCTCTCTTTCAACAAATTCCTGAAAATTACCACAAAATTCACTGGCCGCAGTTTCATCTCCTTTTAGTTTTGTTCCTTTACCAGCAGCCTTTGGAATGCCATGGCGCTGTTTAAATCGAGTTAGCCAGCCTGATGATGCATTAAAATCACCTTCCATGCCCAAAGCATCAAAAAAGAACTTGGCTTGTTTTGCACAAATCGTTCCGGACACTGGAATCCCATCTGTTTTCTGTTGGTTAAACCACTCTATCATAACTCTATCAAGTTCCTCATATGTTGATGACTTCATAGATTTACGTTTGGATACCCCACTGGTAGGATCTGAACTGTTTGCGTAGTTTATAATCCTTTCTTTGTTCTTTTTAATATCACGAACTGTGGATTCACCAATTCCGTACACCACAGAAAGTTTTTTGAAAGAGATGCCTTCCTCAAGTTTCTTAATAATGTCAAGCTTGTCCTTAATTGTCAACACCACACGCTTACGTTTCCCCAACATTTTAGGTGTCTATTTTAGGTGATTACTAGAACAAGACAATTAGCAACTAAGATTTGAATACAAAGCGACTACAAAATGAGGTTGAAAGATTCCTCCTCTCACTTCTAGGACCTAGATGGATACTGCAGTGACCAATTTCCTGACCAGGTCTACATGAATGTTTACTTGCTGTTTTAAAACTTACAAACTTTCTACAACAAAGCCTAGCTCCAATGAACTCTTATCTTCTTCCTTCCTCTTCACTTAGGTAGGGTTTAGGTTCTTTCGTGAATTGCAATCACACTGGAGGTCAGAAACTGAACAGTTTCTAAACAGTACTACTGCATACTCAATTCTTGCTATCCTTGCAGGTAATGTTCTTTGCTAAATCTGCCACTAAATCTCAGGTGGAAGTATTTTAGGAAATGTGCTAGGGAGTAAACAGTTTAAGTCAAGAGAGGACTTGTAAACTTGACATACAGGAAAATACAATGGGAAAACTCACCCTCTGTCTATGTGGTCTTTGTCAAGCAGTGGATTGTATGGAATGCTGTCTCTCTAGGCAAGGACTCTGCTATAGGTTGCGCAAGTGAGTGCTCGTGGAAATCATAAGCAAGAGATGACCCGGACGGAAGTGAGCGGAGCAAATAAGGTGAAAGTGGAACAGGCAGAAAACTCTCTACTTTAAAAGCGACTTAAACCTACTGCATTTGGCAGCTGGAAAGGAGGATAGTGGACATGTGATGCAACATTACTAAAGAAAGCATCAATAAACTGCATCGGTGGAAATTAGGACCCAAGGTAGAGGCTATGGGGTGGAAGGCTCCGTGAAGATGATGTTACAATAATCCCGGTGAAAGACGATCCTCGGTGGGCCAACAGAAGTAGTTCCTGCGGGGGCTGTATAGGCACTCAGAGTCTCCGAAACCTAAAGGAAAATACCAAAAACATTTTCCTTCAATTCAACATCAGGATCTGTGGCATTATCCACATCTATCCTGCAACTATCTTGAGAAAATTAACGCCTCCTATCAATGTGACAGCTAAATACGACAAATAATGCTTTTAGGCATAATCTGGGGTGACAGAGAGAGGGACCTAAAGAGCCTACCTCCTGAAATTAAGAGGTCAGAGAGAAGCCGTGTTAGCGAGGGCCTCTCCCCGCTGGGCGAGCTCCAGAGCGCGGGACGTCTTTCCTCCCGCGGAGGGAGCCCGGATTCCGCCCGGACGCAGGCGACCAGGGTGTCACTGCCGCAGCCAGCCAGCCAGCGGGCGGCCGCTTGGCGCAGGGAACGTCAGTCCGCCGGCACCGGGCATCGCCCTGCGCCCGCGTGCGCGGCGCCCAGACCGCACTAAAAGCAAATGGAGTCCCCAAAGGGAGGCTGGCACTGGTGGCGCGGCGGCGGCGGCGAGGGACGGCGGCGAGAAACGAGCGTCGCCGCCGGAGCCGGAAGGCGGGGGATTAGAGTGCACGCGCGCGCCCCCGCAGAACGTTGTGCCGGCGAGGGGGCGGGGCCTTCCCGGGTGAGTGCACGCGGCCCGGGGGCGGGGACTCCGGCGAGCGCGCGGGAGTGGCGGGGCCCGGCAGAGGAGAGTCTGTGGGCGCCGCTTGGGTTTCCCTCAGCGCCTGGCTGTTTCGGGGCCCGACTGCCTCTCCGGCCGGCAGGGGGCGGCACACGCTCTCCCTGTCTTGGCGCTTTTCCCAGTGGCTCGGCTCTGCGGGCGAGGCTCTTTTCTCACCAAGGGGAAATTTTAGAATCTCACCCCCAGGGGACTGGGTGGGAAAGCGGAGGATCCTCTAGTCCCGTGAGCCGGCTGCGAATGGGGCAGGGCGAGCTCACGTGGGGCGTGTTTACAAACAGCAGCCGCGCCGCCGTGCGGAGGCGGCCGTGGTGTCGGAGCCCAGCGTCAGCGTGCGTGGACAGTGAGAGCCCGAGCGAGGATCATGAGTCACGGTAGGAGCCAGCGGACGTGGGTTCCGGGCAGGAGCTGGGGCGTTCACTCTGCAACACCCAGCCTGGCAAGCCCAGGGTGCAGCGGGCGGCGGTCCCTGGTGCTGATGCTCCGGGACTCGTCACAGTCGCTGTAGAGACGCACCCTTTGCAAAATGGACAGCACCTGGGGAGGCGCCGTGGTTAATTTCCTGCGGCGCCTCCATGCCCGCGACTTCTCAAGTGAAATCAGGGAATTCCTCTTTGACCGAGATTCCCATTATTTGTTTCCAATGGAGACACCTGCGGAACGGTCAGCGCCTTCCCGGAGGAGGGTGGGGCGCATCGCCACCTTGCAGCACCTGTTTCCTGGGAAACGCGGTCGGGCTGCCTTCCTTTCCGTCTTGTGTGTGCGTGTAACAGTTTGAAAAATTGAAAATTCCTCAGTGAAGCGTCTCTCCCGTCTGAACATGAATGTAACCTTTTCGTTAACACAAAGTAACGTAGTAATTCGTCATTTCTTTGACAAGGACATATACTGTTTCTGGAATTTCAGAAACTTGGAGATGGAAATCATAGCGAGCATACTGTAGAAAACAGATGTTGATTCTAAGCCTTCTGTTTGTTTCCGCCGCCAAAACTGCTCAGTTGCCTTTCTCAGCATAGCAGCCTTCCACTATCTGGCATGACAGAAAATTATTTGATCTAGTTATGTTGTGAGGTTGTAAGTGGCTTTTGGCAAATACGTGCTCTCTTCCAAGGTAGACTTCCCCTCTTCCCTGCTCTCCATTTGGCTTCCAGTCAGCCCCTTTCTGGCAATCCTAGTTGACTATTTTGGGTAGATTATAACTTACTTCATTGTAGTTTACTATAACTTTAAAAAATATTCTCCTTTTCCCTGATACTTGTAGAGTGTGAAACACTTGAGTCTGCTAGAACAGCACTTTAACCAAGTGCCGTCCATGTGGAAATGAGGCAGCCTGTAACCAGATGTCAGCTGCTTGCCTTTCTCCCTCTCCCTCCAGTCTACTGGGGTCTCTCTGTCCCAGGATATTTAAATACAAGGGAATTCTGCCTCAGTCTTCCCCTTTTCCACAATATCTCTAGGGTTTAATTTTCTCCCAGATACCACTTGCATTTTTCTGTTTCTCCTGGATTCTTCAGTTTGCTGTTTTATGTCTTGCAGCTGTTCCCTTTATATCACCTTGTGTAAGTTCAAATCTGGATACAGCCCACATTTCTTGATTTTCTCAAATTGCCGCTTCACTCAAGGCAATTGTATTTAGTAGACTTTTAGTAAGATTTTACTCAAGGCAATTGTGTCTTTACACAAAACAATTTTATTGGGTAAACTTTCTCCTTTTGTTGGGGGAAAGGGTGGCTAATTGGTGCAGACATTACAGCCTAAGGGGGAGAGGACTTAGAATGTTAAGAATATGTATATGTATGCATGTGTATATACACATATACATGTATACATATATAGGAACATATATGTGTACACACACACATATATGTATTTTAGACAGGGTCTCTCTCTGCCCAGGCTGGAGTGCAGTGGCGGGACCATGGCTTGGGCTCTCTGCAGCTGCAAGCTTCTAGGTGTGGCGATCCTCTTGCTGCAGACTTCCTAGTAGCCGAGACTACAGGCTACAGGTGAATGCCACCATGCTCAGGTAATTTTTGTATTTTTTGTAGAGATGAGGCCTTGCTGTGTTGCCAGAGCTGGTCTCAAACCCCTGAGCTCAAGTGATCCTTGGCCTTCCAAGTGCTGGGATTATAGGCATGTGCCATCCTGCCTGGTCAAGGATAGATTCTTAAGGTGGTGAAACTACTCTATACAAATATAATGGTGGGTACATGTCATTAAACTTTTGTTCAGATGCACAGAATGTACAACACCAAGAGTGAAACCTAATGGAAACTGTGGGCTCTGTGATAAAAATGTTTCAAGGTAGGCTCATCAATTGTAACTGATGTTGCACTCTGGTGGGCAGTATTGATAATGGGGAGGTTATGGATGTGTAGGGGCAGGGAGTATATGGGAAATCTCCCTGTCTTCTGTGGAATTTTGCTGTGAACCTAAAACTGTTCTAAAAAAATAAAGCCTATTTCTTAAAAATGTAGGCACAAAAAATGAGAATGTTGGGCGCCTAAGGCAACTTACACTTTCTCATCTACTATACTTTCAGCACAGCACACCCCAAGAAGTTCTCCATTGGACACCACTGGGTATTCTATAATTCACTTCAATTCTGATACCATCTGCCTGGAGTGTCCCCCCGGGTTCAGATGCCAATTGCAAGTAGTAGGTTGTTGTCAGGTTGCAACCCAGGCCAGGGTCTGAGGGGAGTTGGTAGGTGGGTGGCAGGTAGTTGAAAGAACCCTTGGGGGACTGTAAGCAGTTGAGATATACCTTTATTCTCTCTTTGTCAGCCTTTGTCTTGGCCACCTGTTCCAGCCGCAGCCCCTCTCAGCACCAGCTCTGGAGCTTCTGCCACCCCCATGCGTGTAGCTGAGCTCCCCGGTGTGCCCACCGCTTGCTGGCTCCCCTCCCAGCCAACTGAGAGATTGCCTTGCTCTCTTTTACAGAGTTAGCAGGGCAGTGATATTACTCGCAGACGATACTGGCTTAAAGCCAGGTAATGAGCCCGCCCATAAGTTACATAATGCACGGGATTGTGTACCTGCGCCCCAGTCCCGCTATGTCATGCAGCACCAGATGTTTACCTTGGCCAACTCTTGACTGCAGTGCAGCTGTTTCCCTTACACTCCACCCGCTAGGCCAAGGGAGTCCTCTTAGAGGAGAAATGTGCCCATAGGGCAGCACCATGGACCCACAGGCCACAGCAGCAGTGCATATGTCCCCCAGAGGAGGGTTCCTTCCTAGGCCATTCCCCTACAAACGGGCAATCACAGAGGCTCTATTAGTCCGTGTTCACACTGCTGATAAAGACATACCCGAGACTGGGAAGAATAAGAGGTTTAATTGGACTTAGATTTCCAAATGGCTGGAGAGGCCCTAGAACCATGGTGGGAGGCAAAAGGCATTTCTTACATGGTGGCAGCAAGAGAAAATGAGAGAGAAGCAAAAGCAGAAACCATTGATAAACCCATCAGATTTCATGAGACTTACTCACTATCACTAGGATAGCATGGGGTAAGACTGGCCCCCGTGATACAATTATCTTCCCGGGTCCTTCCCATGACACATGGGAATTCTGAGAGATACAGTTCAAGTTGCGATTTGGGTGGGAACACAACCAAACCATATCAGAGGCCATACATTAAATACCCAAGCCCTACCTCCAGGGGTCTGCGATTGCCAACCATCTGCAATGGGTGGCTTGGAGGGTCCATGGCCAAAGCCAGGTATTTGTTCACCCTCCTTTGCTAAAGTGGATGTCTGTGCCATCCCAGTCTGGGGGGTCATTACCCATGAACATGTCTACCCCACTATTGGGTAAGTCATCTGCATGATGACTGTAGCCCGTCCCGTCAAACTCATAATCCTGAAGGGCGGCACATGCAGCTGCTAACTGCTTCTCTATCAATGAATACTGGAGCTCAGCTCCCGTCCAAAGTTGGAACCAAAAGCCTACTGGCATTCTAAAGCACCCCATGTGCTGCCATAGGCCCCCGCCAAAATCATCTGTGGTCATATGCACTTTGCGTTCAAATGGGCACCCCTGGTTAATCACTTGTAGGGCCTGTGCTTTGCTGAAGAACCTGGTTGGCTGCCAGAAAGGCTGTCTCAGCCTCATTATCCCAATCCCAGGTAGCCCCCTTTTTTGTCAACCAGTACAACAGTTTTATCATCTGAGCCAAATGGGTCACAAATGCCCGCCAATACCCCAAGAGGCCCTGAAAAGTCTGCAGCTACATCACTGTGGTGGGCCGAGGACATGCCTGAATTTCGTCTATGATGGCCTCTGGTATGGCTTTTGTCTTACCCAACCAGGTAACTCTTAAGAATTGGGCAGTCAATCCAGGCCCTGGGATCTTGGATTCATTGATGGCCCAACCGCATGCTGCCAAATGTCAGAAGAGAGGCGCTGGCACTTCTAAATCTGCAAGAGGATCAGAAGTTAGCATGATATCATCAGTATAATGGAATAGGACATCAATATAATGGAATAGATTTGGACATTTCCAGGTGGCTAAATCCGTGGCAACGAGACCATGGCTATCGGTGGGACTGTGCACATAGTCCTGCAGCAACACTGGGAAAGTCCATTGTCATCCTTCCCATGTGAAGGTGAGCTGTTCCTGGCTCTCCAGAGCAGAGTCAATTGAGAAGAATGCATTGGCCACATCCACCACGTAGTGGTACTGTCCCAATTCCATTGTCAAGTGGTCCATCAAATCTGTGATAAATGGCACAGCCGCCAAGCCATGTAAAATATCCACCCCCAGAATATATTCAGGTATGGGAGAGATATACACAGTGTATAAACAGGGAGCCAAGTAGCTGATGCAAGGCCCAAAGATACAGGTTTTGCTTTCACTGACCAGCCTTCATAGCCATTTATGTATGCAGCCTTACCTGGAAACTTATCTGGGCTCCATAGACAAGGCTACAGTCTGTGCCAGTGTCTACCAGCGCCAGCACCTGCTGTACATTGGTGGGGGACCAGTGGATTGCTAATTCCACATGTGGCATCATGTCATCTGGTATCCCCCAAGCCGGGCATCTCGACCAGCTCCCTAATCAAACACAAAAGGCTCTATACCTCTGCCTGTGTGTAAGTAGTCCTTGAGCTGGAACATCCAGGCGGGCATTTCTGGAATTGCTGCTGTGGGGACAATTGCCTCCACAAAGTTACCGGCACTTCCCAGGTGGGTAGGGGCTCCCCTAGACTGTGCCAACACTGTTTGCCTAACTCCCACAAATCAGTTGGGGTGTAGGCACTGTATGAAGCACATTCTGCCATGGCAGGGGGTCCCTGGGCCTGTGCTTTGGGCCCAGGTGGCTGTTCATGCTCTATTTTCAGGTGGACCATGGAGTGAGCCTGCAGTGGGGG